AAAAAAAAAAAAAATCACCTTTATTGGTATCTTCCATTCATAGTTCTGTATTCTACAGAATGTTCCCGAAAACTACGATGTAAGAATATTGTGAGAATACTTTATTTATTTTTTTTTTTCAACGTTTATTTATTTTTGGGACAGAGAGAGACAGAGCATGAACGGGGGAGGGGCAGAGAGAGAGGGAGACACAGAATCGGAAACAGGCTCCAGGCTCTGAGCCATCAGCCCAGAGCCCGACGCGGGGCTCGAACTCACGGACCGCGAGATCGTGACCTGGCTGAAGTCGGACGCTTAACCGACTGCGCCACCCAGGCGCCCTTAGAATATTGTGAGAATACTTTAAATAGTAGGGTCTAGATCTAGTATTTTCATACATAAGGTGCCCTGCCTATGTCTTCTTAGATGTTTTTACAATCGCATCTCATTGACCGTTATTAATTTCCTTCCATAGGAAGGAAATTTTTCCATAGGAAAAATGTTCCCACTCATTCCATCCAAGGTTTCCACAGGAATAAACTGACAGACGTTCAGCTCACTCAGAAAGCGTTTATTGAAAGCCAGCTAGGTATTGAGCTCTGTGTCAGACACAGGACATGTATGTCAAATACACAGGAATAATTTAACATTTAAAAAATTTTTAATGTTTATTTATTTTTGAGAGACAGAGCATGCATGGGGGAGGGGCAGAGAGAGAGGGAGACGCAGAATCCGAAGCAGGCTCCAGGCCCTGAGCTGTCAGCATAGAGCCCGACACGGGGTTCGAACTCACGGACCGTGAGATCATGACCTGAGCCGAAGTCGGCGGCTCAACCGACTCAGCCACCCAGGCAGCCCTAATTTAACATTTTATTTTATTATTTTTTTTTTTTAATTTTTTTTTTCAACGTTCTTTATTTATTTTGGGACAGAGAGAGACAGAGCATGAACGGGGGAGGGGCAGAGAGAGAGGGAGACAAGAATGAACAGGTGCAGGCTCGAGCCATCAGCCAGAGCTGACGCGGGCTCGGAACTCACGGACCAGCGAGATCGCGATCTCCGGAAGTTAACCCATCTGCGCCACCAGCTTCCCACTTAACATTTTAAAACACCATTTATTTTGTATCGTCTTGGGTAGTCTTTGAAACTGCCCCATCCGTTGGTAGCACCTGCTCCCTGAGGCCACAGCCGTGAAGCCCGGCAGAGCGGAATTTGGGCTGGAGTCACCTCCCACCCGTGGAGTGAGGGAAATGTGTGCTGCGCTTGGTCGCCCCGGGATAGTTGAGTTGGGTGTGTTAACGACAACCATTGCATTTAGCTCCCAGGACAGGCCGTGAGCGAACGGGTAAATTCCCATCCTCAAGCATACGAGGCGGACACCAGGTCCTGCCTGCCCGGATCTGCCCTTCCAGTCCACACCGATGTGCCTCCCTTGCCGGAAGCCCGGACTCTCTGCCCAACCACTGTGTCCATCTCCCATGTGACCTGACCACAGGAGCAGCTACCTCGTTCCCATCCACCCATTCATTTCTTCATCCATTCATCCACTTGTGCCTTCGTTGGCTTACGTGTCCACACCCAGCCTCCGGAATTCATAGTGAGCCACCGCTCCAGGGCAGGGACGCCTGCCTCCCAGAACCTGCGCTACCGACTCTGGTTCTGATCCACCACTTTCCCACCCAGACATCGAGCCTGCGTCCGTGAGCTCCGATTTCAAGGGAGCTTTATTTATATCCTGGTATCCTATCAAGTCGTCACCCTGCAAGCCAGCGCTTTGCAGTTGTCTCTTTGGAGAGTTGCAGACGCTCGGGCCCCTGCTCTTACGGATTCCTTGAGGTCTGCTTACGGCTCTGATCTGTAAACGCTGTTCTGGCCAAGAACAGAGGCCCCCAACTCAGCATGCCGATTTCGTGAGAGGCATTCGCCACCGACGTGACACATTTGCCCCAGTAACGCTTAGCGACTGAACGCCGGTTCACATCTCCAGAACAGTTGTGCAGATCATTTAAGAAACGTTAGCCTCCTGTGCGTTTGAAGCTACCACCAGCGTTCCTGAAGGTTCCATCCTTTTCTGAGTCTTACTCTCACCCCTCTCTAGGATGTTCCTTTGGGCGTAGAAAGCTATGAAAGGAAAACTGATTCCTTGAACTTGGAGAGACTTTCACTGTGTGTAAATCTCAGATCTTGTTTTATTTTACTGCCCTATCAGCCATGTGGGTCTTCCTTCCTCTGCCCAAACCCTTTGTTCTTTCTCCTTTGAATGTCATCCCCTCTTCCGTAACAAAGTCCGTAAGCTCAGGAATTGGCTGAGACATCATATCTTCCCGTGTGTCCTTTCCTGAGTCTTCCTGCTTGCATGCATGATATGGTGACTTACAGCAAATTTACCCCATTAGACCGTGCTTGAGAGGGTGGGTCTGGGTCATATTCCTTATGGAGTCTCCCTCCTAGCAAGGCAACTGGCATATACTAGGCCTTCATGAAAGGTTGGGGATGGGGGTGCCTGGGTGGCTCAGTTGGTGAAGCGTCTAGGTCTTGATTTCAGCTCAGGTCGTGATCTCAGGTTCATGAGTTTGAACTCCACATTGGGCTCTGGGCTGACAGCTGAGAGCCTGCTTAGGATTCCCCCCCACCACGCTGTCTCTGTCTCTCTCCAAGTAAATAAATAAACTTGAATGATAATTAAGAAAAAGGATTGGGGATGGTGGGTGGGTGGGTGGATGGATGGGCAAGTCAGAAAATTTCATAATCAACTTTAATTTAGAAATGAGGATTCAGACTTGGAGAGGTGAAAGAATAAATTGTACAGTGTTAGGCTTTATCGAACCTTTTCAATTTCTGTAGTTTGCTCCAACCTCGGGATTCAGCCTATTTTACTTGTTAGTTTAGGAAAGATGATTTTCTGGGGCGCCCGGGGGGCTCAGTCAGTTGGGCGTCTGAGTCTTGATTTTGGCTCAGGTCATGATGCCATGGCTCGTGAGTTTGAGCCCCAGGTCAGGCTCTGCGCTGATGGCACACTGGATTCTGTGCTTGGAGTTCTCTCTCTCTGCCTCTCTCCCTGCTCACACATGCCCTTTGTGTGTGTGTCTCTCTCTCTCTCTCCCTCTCAAAATAAATAAGCTTAAAAAAATTTAAAAAGGACATCATTGTGTCAAATTGATGATAACTACATCTGAATAAATAAAAGCTTCAGGGACGGAATGAAGTCGGGCCGAGTCTAGAACATGAGTCTCTGAGTCTTCTTTCTTCTTTACCGTTTTCATCTGCTGCTGCTAACCCGCTTTCAATTTATATCCGCCGTTTTCCCCTTCAGTCATTCAGTGATATTTTATTGTAGATTTGTGGACCATTTGTAACACTAACGACCTTTTCTCCCCGGTAGGATATCTGCAAAGCCCTGTGGTGCCACCGAATTGGAAGGAAATGCGAGACTAAATTTATGCCCGCAGCAGAAGGCACCGTTTGTGGGCATGACATGGTAAGGACCTAATCTCGGGTCATGGGTCATGCTCGGATGTCACAGCCTCTCTACCCACGCGTCTCTCCTCCTCCCGCGCTGGTATTTTGTCCGCCCGTCTTCCTCATTTCTATGTGCGAACCTACCCCTGGGTCAGAAGATGGGGTTTCATCTAGATTGGTACCGGGAGGGGGCTCCTTTCTCCTCTTCTTCCTTTCCCGATGATGTAATTGGTGGGCCGTCTGCCACTAATAGATGTGGATGCCAGGCGACAGGTGGCGACCGCATGTATTTAATGAGGGGAAACATTAAACCCTTGACCATATTTTAACCGTGGGCAGCACCCGCATTAGGTAGTGCTGTTAAAGGCACAGAGCATCAATTCGAAGACCCTGGAGCAGACCATTCTGACCTGTCGTCTCCCCTGGGAAAAAAAAAGAGAGGCGCTTCGGTAGAGAAAAGAACTACATAAAGCAGCACATTTATTACTCACTGGTAGAGAATGATGATTTTGTCATTGAATTGAAAGTATCTTAATACCCAAGAGCGTTATTTTGACTCCTTTGATTAAACCTGTGATTTCACTGTTCTTTTTAATATATAAGACTGTTATTGAGGGGGTGCCTGGCTGGCTCAGTCGGTTAGGCGTCCGACTTCGGCCCCGGTCGTGATCTCGTGGTTTGTAGGTTCAAGCCCCACGTCAGGCTCTGTGCTGACAGCTCAGGGCCTGGAGCCTGCTTAGGATTCTCTCTCTCCCTCTCTCTCTCCGCCCCTCCCCCACTCGTGCTCTCTCTCCCTCTCTCTCTCTCTCTCTCTCAAATAAATGAGCATAAAAAACACATCTAAAATATAAGACTGTTGATAAAGATGGAAATATACGGGACCCAAATTATTACGTAACCATGTCTGCAAGGCTAGGCGTGTGACCTTTTCAGTGATGCTAATGAACGTGAAAGAGAAATTCATGCCTAAATGTCACTGGTTCGTACGTGTAGATTCCAAAGCAAATATATCACACCCTGAACGTATTTTAATGGGAACATGGACACAAAGGGTTAAACATGTTAGCAGACAGTGCTGACATGTGCTCCCGGGATAAATTCTGGCGACACCGACAGAGGGAATGAAGAGCTAGGAGTACCCCTACGGCAGAGACCCCTATGTTTAGTCCCTCAAACACGGGGGTACTCACAATTAAATCCTTCTAGAGATATAAGCAACAGGAGTTAAATAATTCATACCCATAAAACTCTGGGGCACCTGGGTGGCTCAAGTCAGTTAAGCGCCCAACTCGAGATCTCAGCCCAGGTCTTGATCTCAGGGCTGTGCGTTCGAGCCCCGAGCTGGGCTCTGTGTTGGACTCCGCACTGGGCATGAAGCCTACTTACAAACGAAATGTAATCAATATGCTTTTAGAGTCTCGGAAGAGGAGAGGAACCCGCCGGCGTGCCACAACGTGGAAAACACACACGGTCGCGGCACGCCAGGGAATTGGCCTGAGCAGTAAGCCGCAGGTGATCATAACCTTCTGCACTTAGTTGGTTGACCTTTACTCTTCAGGTGACAGTTCGCAAAATGAGGCTGCTCTCCAGAACGATTGGCAGAAGCTGCAGCCCACGCAGGCCCCGGGGGTTCTCAGGTCGCCTGCTTCCTGTAGGACCAACTCCCTAGCTCTGGCGCTCCCTGAAAATCACCTATACATTCTTGTTATGTTTTATTTACCGCAAAAGCACAGTCAGATCGGTGGTTCTTGGTATTTTCAGTTCATTTCCCTTGCTGGGCCAGAATACACGCGGGACGGCGTCAGCGCTCCTGTGAAATCTCCCTTTGCTGTTAATTGCGTGCCTTCCTGTGTTACTGGCTGTCGTGTGTCCCTGAGCTTTATCGGTCTAGAAGCGTGTGTTCCCAGACGTCAGTGTCACAGTGCTTTGGCCGGTCCCGGTCGGTGCGTTCTGGGTGATTGGCTACAGCCATGCCGCTTCTGTGCCCTTTTCTCCTGGACGGGAGCCTGTTTCCTTCCATCTTGCGCTGCCTGTGAGGCTTGCGCGTGGTGGAAAATGGGGCTGATGTTGACTGCATTTTGTAGCATGAGGCTCTATCCTGAGTACCTCGAATACAGGCGGCCCTGACGACCACCGTGTGAGGGCGAGTCTGTCGCGGCCCCCCTCGGGCACTCAAGAACCTTTCCAGGGAAGGACGCTGGGTTCCTTTGTTCTCATGACAGGGGAGTCCGGGGCAAGGGGCTGGGACCACAGCCCAAAGCGTAGGAAAGCAGATTCTAGCCCGCTAACAGTCGTGGGCCTCTAATGTAGAATTAAAGCAGCTCTCACGTTACCCAGATCTGACACTCGGTGCTCGGTGCTTGGCCCATGTGACCACATCAGATTTTTGGAGCAGCCCAGCCTGGTGGTACGCGTCATCGCTAAGGTTCTCCGGGGGGGGGGGGGGGGGGGGGGACACGCAGGCTCAGAGCACTGGAGTCACCTGCCCCAGGCCACACGGCAGCAGGACTAATACTGAGGTTCCTTTTCTCCCCGCTCCCCGAGTCAGCGGCTGCATCTTATCAGGGTGCTTCCCGTGTGGGCTGGGTTTGGAGGTGCCATGCAGACTCCGGGGACAGTATCAAAGCAGGAACAAGCACGCATCGTGACATCTCGCTTGCTAAGATGAAGCCTTCTCTCGAACGCCGCGTTGTCCATGAATAAAATACAAATGGTGAGAAACGTGGGGTGGTCCCGGAAACCGAACTGGTGTTTCGGTGGAAATGGCGTGTGCGTACTTAACACATGCCCTTCCCCGACCCGCTCACGGTGGGCTCCCCAGCTCTGTGACCTGCGTGGACTTGATACATAAAGTCGGTGTGCACGTGGATGCACGTGTTTGGGCCCCTGCACCTTCATGCCCACGTGCATTCCCCCCCTCCAACCTCCTTCGGAGAAGTTACGGTGTTTTCTCCTCAGACCTCCAGAAAGTTTTTGTTTAATAATTTTTTTTTTGTAGTTTATTTTGAGAGAGACAGAGAGATCGAACAGGGGAGGGCAGAGAGAGAAGGGAGAGAGAGAATCCGAAGCCAGCTCCGCACTGTTAGCACAGAGCCCGACCCGGGGGTTTGAACCCACAAACTGTGAGATCGTGACCTGAGCCGAAACCAAGAGTCCGATGCTTCACCGACTGGGCCACCCAGGTGCCCCTAAAAGCAACTTGTAAAGGGACGGTCCTGTAAGGATATTCGGACGAAAGCAGCAGCATTTCACTGGCAAGAATACCAACGGCAGCAGCAATTTCGACAGCAGGAGACCGGAAACCACGCGGATGTGCGTGAAGAGGGCAGTGGCTGAAGAACCCCACCTGCAGAAGGAGAGCCCCGTCTGCACGCTGCAGCAGATGATCCGCAGACATCCCGTAGGCGGACAAGCAGAACGAATGGAGCATGTGCAGCGGGCCCTCACTGACCAAAAGAAAAGGGAGTCGTCATCTGCACATTTTCTTACCTTAAAAACAAAATGAAAGGATAAACTCAAAATTTGGAAGCATAAACGTAAATATTTGCTGTACTTTTAAAACAGAGTGAAACCACATTTTCTTCAAGTAACCCTTACATTCCAGAAGCAAAAGCAACTGGACCCAAACACCTGTCACCTTGTTGGCTCGACCAAAACTGTAACAGAAGCATTGTTTCGAGTGGCTTTAAAACCTGAAAATATTTTCTGAGCTTCAACTCGTTGGTTCTTGCTTCCACACTTTCTGGGTTGTGTGTTAGAAAGCTCTGACCGGGTGATTTTTTAAAATGGGACAAAACAACCACAGCAGACCCCTGACGTGTCCCTCCCGGTCCCTCCCGGTCCCTCCCGGTCCCTCCCGGTCTCTGCCAGCTGCAGGGCCCTGCCCAGAGCCCACAGGAGCCAGCCCTCTGCTTCTCTCAGCTCCTTCTCTCCTCTGACTCGAGGCCATTGAGGAGCAGGTGCCCTGCTGTCTCCTGTGCACCCCTCACCAGGCTGAGGGTGTCAGGGGGACTTCAGGACTTGTTCTAGCACCTGGGGGTGAGGGCAGGGAGGTAACAAAAGAGAGACTTATTTTTTGCTTGTGGGAAAGAATCGAAGAATTGAATGGATGAGGTTTCAGTGCTCAGAATTTCTTATGTTCAAGTTTCCCTCCTTGAATGGTGTTAAATCAAACCACTTGTAATTGCCAGCAAAGGTCAAGTGGCAGCCATCTGATACGTTTTCACCCGACACAACAATGAATAATTGAAGTGTTGTTATTTTCCTCTTGTAAAGTACCATTTTTTCTCTCGGAACAAATCCGGTGGCCCTAACCTTGGAGCCAGACGGGAGGGGACTTGACCCTGTCCCTCACCCCGCAGCCCTCAGGCCAGACTCTGCTTGGTCCCTGCGGGCCAGCAGCAAGGGACGAGCAATTTCCTTTTCTCCTCTCAGCAGATGGCCTGAAGATTGTCGAAGTCTACACCAAACCATGGGTGGAAAACCAACAGCATCGAACACCACGTGAGATGTGTAGCCTTGACGTGTGATGGAAGCAGAGACAACGCGTGGCTTTGGGCATGAACTGACATCGACGAGCGTCGCTCTTGAGAAGGGACAGCTGATGGCATCTCCAGCCGTGTGGGCACACGTGCAGCTCTGTGTGGGCTGTGTTATCTCCCCGGGAAGCAGTGTGACCTCCGACCCTCGTCCGCCGATAACCTCCGGGCTCCAGGCTTGGAGCCCAGGTGCTTGGGAGTGACGGCACAGAGCATCGGCCAGAAATGACAAGGTGTTGAGTCACATGGAACCTCCAGCTGGACGTTTCTACCCGAGGCCCCGTCTGCTCTCAAAGAGCTATGAAAAGCACGTTGTTCTCGGAGAGACTGGAGTTCACTCACCTGAGAGCCGCACGATCAGGCCGAACGTTCGTGCAACGCCACTTAATTACATGTGCTGAATTCCAGCAGCTCGGACGCTACAAAATGGTTCTTCTGTGTATCTTCCCTCTACGGGGATTTGTAAACCGTGCTAGGCTGGAAAAGGAAAAAGAAGCAACATCCACTCACTGTATTTGTATCATACGTTTACCTGAAGGTCAGATGTTGATATCTTGCACGTTCTACCAAACTCCCCACGGCTGACATCACAGCGGTGCTGGACCCGCCTATCCACCCATGAGTCACGTCAACCTTTTTCTCTTTTTTAATTTTTAGTGGTGCCGGGGAGGACAGTGTGTGAAATACGGTGACGAAGGCCCCAAGCCCACGCATGGCCATTGGTCAGACTGGTCTTCCTGGTCCCCTTGCTCCAGGACCTGTGGAGGAGGGGTGTCTCACAGAGACCGCCTGTGCGCAAATCCCAAGTAAGTACGTCCTCACTTCCCTCCTCACGAGCGATTTCTGTGCTGTGAACCTTCCAAGCCGCGTGTGTACCTAAATTCAGTAATATCGATCTGTACGTCATGTAGCTGTGTAGGGATCACTGAGTAGGTGGAACCACATGGATGGAGCTAGAGAGTTTTGTGCTAAGTGAAATAAGTCAGAGAAAAACAAATACTGTATGATTTCACTCCTACGTGGAATTTAAGAAGCAAGCAAAGGGGAAAAAGAAGAGGGAGAAAGTGAGAAACAGACTCTTAACTATAGAGCGCATACTGATGGTCACCAGAGGGAAGGGGGGACGGGGTATGGGTGAAACAGGTGATGGGGATTAAGGAGGGCGCTTGTGATGAGCATCGGGTGAGGCATGGAGGTGTCGAGTCACTCTGTCCTACACCTGAAACTAACGGAACCCTGTGTGTTGGCTATGCCGGAATTAAAAAGCATCACTGAGCAGGAAAGTCATTTTAGTCAAGTATTTCTCAAACAGCGATATCTCTTTGGTATAATTTAAGATGCTTCAAGCGACCTGACCATAGCACGTGATAACAGACCCAGCAGCGATACTCAGGAAGTGGATTTTAGCCACATTTCTACGAAATACCAAGGGTCTGCCTAAAATGAGTATGCAAATCATGAAGATATGGAGAACACAAATGAATAAGAATCAGGAAGAACCGTTTTTTCACGTGGGAAAAAAAAAGCCAGATGTTGGGTTCTTCATGAAATATATTTACCTTTGCAACATGTGGTTTCACTGTGACCTTCTGTGAGAAGACAGGGACACCAGAAGCGGTCCCCAGTGCGCTGGGGTAGAGGAGTTTCCAAATCCTCCCTTTGCACCTGACTTTGCTTAAAACATGACTCCTATCATGGCTCTTCAGTCCTGTCTTTATCATGTGACGCTCAGTGGGTCCGCCACATCGTATGGCTGCGTCCACGTGAATTCTAGGGGGTGAGCTGGGGGTGTTTCCCATCAGCACCGACCAGTGGAAGGTGACTTCAGCGAAGTCCCTGAATGGCAGTCTCAACTCTGCCGGCTGTCAACTGTGCGGTTCTGGGAGAGCCGCCCTCCCTTAGCGGTCCCTCCTCTATGAGTGCAGAGAACGGCAGGGTCACGCTGCCTTCTGCAGGGGTGCTGGGAGTCGGTGGCGGACAGATGCCAGCAGATCCATTTCCACACCCTAACTGGCTCTACTAACCTTGTGAATAACACTGCCCATGTCGTTAATGGGTGAGAAAGTGCCAGGGTCCCTTAGAAGTACACTTTTCTTACTTGGTCGCTGAAAACAACATAACAGGATCTGCTCATCTCTTCAATAAGCCTAATTTCCAGGGAGGGGAGAGTAGCTGTGAAATGTAGGGCTTCTTTTTGGTTTTAGCGTGCAGTCATTTCGGGGATAGCATGAGTGTGAGCGGGGGAGGGGCAGAGAGAGAGGGAGACCGAGGATCCAAAGCGGGCTCTGGGTTGACAGCAGCAAGCCTGACACGGGGCTCGAGCTCGCGAACCATGCGATTGTGATCTGAGCTGAAGCTGGACACTCAACCAGCCTAGCCACCCAGACGCCCCAAACGTAGGGTTTCTAATTGCGAAATGTATGTTCCAGACCATCGCACGGAGGGAAGTTTTGTGAGGGCTCAGCTCGGACTCTGAGGCTTTGCAACAGTCAGAAATGTCCCCACGATAGCGTTGACTTCCGTGCGGCACAGTGTGCCGAGTACAACAGCAAACGGTTCCGAGGATGGCACTACAAGTGGAAGCCATACACTCAAGTGCAAGGTAAATCTTAAATCCCCCCTTCTAGGAATAGCCTCGTGCTTTAAAGAATTACGTGACTGAAAACTCTTTAAAGAATTACATGGTTGAAAATGTGGCGTTCGGATAGACCACATCGCTATGTGAGGTCGTTGTCACAGGCTCTTCTGCCTAACCCCTTGGCCGCTGGCTTTGTACCTGAACTTGACCAGCGGTGTGGCCAGAAATTAACAAGCAGATAGAGAGTGTGTGCGTCATACCGTGAAATCTTCAAAGAAGTGATAAAACATTCAAAACGGATGGTTTATTGATAAGGGATCAGTGCTTTTTAATTACAAATCACAGTAGTTGAGGGCGATCTCACCCATCGAACACTTACAATTGCCAGAGAATGAAAGAAAAATTTTAGTATCTTTTGGAAAAGCAGTTGACTTTCAAGTATAGTATATTCAAAACTCTGGTTCTAAACCAAGAAGTTTATCTGCACCATATGTAAGATTTTATCCTCCAGTGTGAGAGAAGTACTTACTGTTCTTAAGACTGAAAGAACTTGAACCTGGTAGCTCCGCTGACATAATTTAAAGAGAAATCCAAAGAATACCTAGTCACCTCGCTCTTTGAAACTGGGAATACTGTCCAAGCAACGGTCAAGAAATACATAAATCTCATCTGACTTTATAAACATAATGTTTTCATGGTAAGAACTTTATGAAGTCAGTAAATTCTGGAAGGAGAAGTTTAAGCAGTTTCACACAAAGCATTTTTGGTTGTTTTTACTCCCAGACTCAGTAAAATGTAAGCCAGTGAGAATTAAGTAGGCAGGAGAAAAAGGAGAAAGAACTTTGAAATTGGGGCCAAAATATGTGTGCTCTTCTGGGCTTCCCTATCTCAGGACATAAACACATTAATCATGGAAGCACATACTTGCCTTGATTCTTAGGGTTGTTCAATGGAGTCTCCTCCTGTACAATAAAGAAAATATTTGTGGATGAGTCTTGAGCCCATGAAAATTCCTGAGGCGGACTATATTTTCGTCAACTCAGCCCTTCTTTACCAAGAAGAACGAAGGGAAAAAAGTTCATGTTAATTACATAAATCATAAAATCTTTGAAATAGATTATCAAAAGAAATCGACTGGCTCTGCCACTCTTAAGTATACGGTGATACCTACATTCCCCACGTATCAGTATTTTTTGACAATCATTGTGTTTATAGAAAACATCATTCTCTGAAGATTTCATCTAAAATTTATTCCTTTTATCAGTTTAAAAATATTATAAATTTCATCAAATGCATTAGCTTTTTAAAAATTTTTTTGCTTTAGTGTTGATTTATTTTTGAGAGAGAGAGAGACAGAGACAGAGACAGAGACAGAGTGTGAGTGGGGGGAGGGGCAGAGAGTGAGGGAGACCCAGAATCCCGAGCAGGCTCCAGGCTCCGAGCTGTCAGCGCAGAGCCCGACGTGGGGCTCAAACTTGCGAACCATGAGATCATGACCTGAGCAGAATGCTTAACCCACTGAGCCACCCAGGCACCCCAAATGCACTAGCTTTTAATAAATTTCGTGATTATTTGAATTCTTTTATTACATTTTTCCTGTGAGAATTGTGTATATTGCTACAAAATAGTAATGACCTTTTGCATTTCTGCAAGAGAATAGTTCATCAAACTAGTAAAATAGTCGAACAGTGATGTTGTCGTTCCAGTCAACAAATATTTATTGAATGCCTACTATGTGCCAACCACTGAGTAAAGAACAAGGACAGTAAAGGACACCGTCGAGTAAGAATGGTGAAGGCTTATACAAATTAAAAATTAAAAGGAAAAACCAAGCCTCATGAGACAACCATAAAAGAAATGTCTTTGCAATGAATATTGTGTGGGAGTTATTTTATGGGCAAAAGAAAAAAAAAAAAGAAAGAAAGAAAAAACTTAAAAAAAAGTCTATCTAAAATTTAGAACAAAAGTGATCAGAGCTTAAGTATCTTTCTTATTTGTGTTTGTGTGTGTATTTCTTTTTAAGATCAGCACTTATGCAAACTCTACTGTATCGCAGAAGGATTTGATTTCTTCTTTTCTTTGTCAAATAAAGTCAAAGATGGGACTCCATGCTCGGAGGATAGCCGTAATGTTTGTATAGATGGGATATGTGAGGTAATAATGATCGTTCATTCATTCAACACACGTCTCCAGACAGTCTGCTTTGTGTCAGGCATTCCTCTAAGGGGCTAAAGACACCAGACATTTAAATCCCGCCTTTCCCTCCCGCTCACAGCCCGGTGGGGGGGGGAAAGCCGGATGAACACACAAAGAGACACAGGTGGTTTGTCCCAGTGGAGGTGCCCACGGAGGATGGGGAGCAGAGGAGAGAGCTGATTTTCTCCCCGATGTGGATCTGGGGGATTTGCGGGGTTCCTTGGAGAAGGGCGCTTCCGAGCTAGATCGGGAAGGGTGAGTTGGCCTGGAGGTGTGGGAGAGCCGACTGGGAACACGGTCGTGCTAGAAGGTGTGGGTTGATAGGACCCGACTCAGGCATCGAGCACCCGGAGGGCAGGCAGGGCAGGGGTGCCGAGGGAGGTGAGGGAGCGAGAAGGGGCGCACGGAGGATTTTTATCCTCCTGTCCTGGCGGAACAGACCCTGGGACCTGGATGGAGCTGAGCGGCAGGGTCAGCCGGCAGTAGCTTGGGCAGCGGAGGAACCAGGGGCAGTTTTGAGCCAAGAGATCACTTGGCATCCTGCAGGGACTTGGGAGACAGACGGGGAAAGATTTGTTGGCTAAGTGGCCATAGAGCTGCCTTGGGCAGGGGTGAGACGGGGAAGGAATTCCATTATTACACCAAGTGGAAGCGTGACCAGATCACATACGTTGCACACAATCGATGGGTTTTTCATTGAAGTTGCTCAGTATGCACACTCACAGAGTCTAAGCACCTCGGTCATCGTTCTGGTCTTCTCTAAGTGAGATGACCATGGTCAGGTTGAGTCGTGCACTGGGACACGCACAGTGTAATCCTTTTTCGTAGGTGAAGATCACACTCGGTTCTGTCGAGATCTCTTTCAGATTTCAAATGGCCGAGTCTCCATTTTGTCTAATTATTAGTGGGCTTGTTAAATATGTTATTGTTTTCAGGTATTCGTCACGACACAGTGTCACAGTCCCTTAGATGTAGTTCTGAAATCCCAAAAGCCGTCACACAGAAGGTTTATTGGGCTGCACAATACAGGATGCCCTGAATTTGTTTGCTGGCGAAACCTGCCCTCGACGGGTGTGAGGCTATGTGTCAGTTTTATTGATCTCGCTTCGTGTGAAGATGTACGTGATTTGCCATAGAAACATCCTTTACGCGTTTCATTGAGTGCTACCCTGGGCCCTGCTGGGACTCTCACATGATGTGCATAATATGTTAATTCCCTTCCTAAAATCCAAAAAAAAAAAAAAAACCCTCTGAATTCTGAAATGCATTTGACCATAAGAATTTCCAGCAAGGAATTATGGAGGAATTGTGATTCATTTCTGAATGGGTTTTTTACAAGTATATACTAAACTCTTTGTTAGTAAATATAAAGCTAGTAAGCATCATAGAAATTATAAAGGCCCCTAAAATTCTAAGACAATGAACAAAGATGCCCTTTAAATGATTTACTGCTGGGAATAATTCCCAGGCAGCCTGTGTTCCTTCTCTCCTTTGCACACGGCCACTCAGAGGCACAGTGGCACATTCCAGGGGACCCTCACGTGGACACATTGCTCATCAATTTGTGCTTTGCGTCCATCTGAAATTTACCATTAATCTCCAATATGAAAATCTGATAGATTTAATTTAGGGCTCAGGGTTTTTTAAAAATTTTTTAATGTTTATTTATTTTGAGAGAAAGAGAATGAGCAGGGAAGGGGCAGAGAGAGAGAGAGAGAGAGAGAGAGAGAGAGAGAGGGAGAATCCCAAGCAGGCTTCATATTCAGTGCACAGCTCAATGCGGGGCTCAAACTCACAAAACTGTGAGATTGTGACCTGAGCAGAAACCACAAGTCAGACGCTTAACCAACTGAGCCACCCAGGCGCCCCTTAATTTAGGGCTCGAGATTCTAAGATTGTGTAGCAACGCCAAAGACAACAGCTCTCAGGGTTTCCTCCTTTGGATTTGAGAGTAGAGTTTCAGTCTTGCTGTGCACATACTTGGTATCCAATAAATATTTGTTAACTACTCTGTGTTGGTGAAATGTTCTACTGGAGCGGGGAGGTTTCTCGCTGGAGCTCTGTGACTTCACTCTTGTCGTCTTTTCTTTCACGAATGACGTGTGGCCCCGGTCCCCCAGAGAGTGGGATGTGACAACGTCCTTGGATCCGATGCCGTGGAAGACTCCTGTGGTGTGTGCAGGGGGAATAACTCAGATTGCACGACACACAAGGGGCTCTACACCAAGCACCACGGCGCCAACCGTGAGTACAAGGAATACGAGGGAGATGTAAACCAGAACCTCCTGGAGGGGACACCTGGGGTTTCCGTGGCAACAGCAGGCATCAAGGGTCCTGAAAAGACCGACAGTCTCCTTCCCTACTCCGCCTGTCAAGCCTTTCCTTAATTGTTTAAAAAAAAAAATTTAAGTTTATTTATTTTGAGAGAGAGAGAGAGCAGGCGAGGGGCAGAGAGAGAGGAAGAGAGAGAATCAATTCCAAGCAGGCTCCATGCTGTTAGCCCAGAGCCCGACGCGGGGCTCGAACCCACAAACCGTGAGATCGTGACCTGAGCCAAAGTCAGATGCTTGACCGACTGAGCCACCCAGGTGCCCCAACTTACTTTCTTTTTTTTTTTTTTTAACCTTTATTTATTTTTGAGACAGAGACAGAGCATGAACGGGGGAAGGTCAGAGAGAGGGAGACACAGAATCTGAAACAGGCTCCAGGCTCTGAGCCATCAGCACAGAGCCTGACGCAGGGCTTGAACTCACGAACCGCGAGATCATGACCTGAGCCGAAGTCGGACGCTTAACCGACTGAGCCACCCAGGCGCCCCCCAACTTACTTTCTTAAAATAAAGATTATTTATTTTGAGAAAGAGGGAGAGAGAGCATGAGTGGGGGAGGGGCAGCGAAAGGGGGAGAGAGAGAATCCCAAGCAGGCTCCTCACTGACAGTGTGGAGCTTGACGTGGGACTCAGTCCCACGAACTGTGAGATCATGAACTGAGCCAAAGTCAAGAGTCGGACACTCAACCGACTGAGCCACCCAGGTGCCCCCCAAGCCTTTCCTTTTGATGGAAAGTGGTTGCAGGTTACTTGAATTAAAGTGGTTCTTAGGAACAATGAAATTTATAATAGCTCTGCTTCAATTAAAAGAAAAGAAAAACACAAGTTACTTCAAGGCCTCATGGCACCGATTGCCAAAATTCTCCTGGTTCCCAACGTGGATTCTCAGGTTTGAGTTGTGGGGAACCCCAGCGTAGGGATTTTGCGTCGGCATTCTTGAACGAAAATACCACATTCTTCCCACTCCTGTTTCCTTTAACGTAGAGTATTATCAGATGGTCACCATTCCTTCTGGAGCCCGGAGTATTCACATCCGTGAAATGAATGTGTCGACGTCCTACATCTCTGTGCGCAATGCCCTCCGAAAATACTACCTGAACGGGCACTGGACGGTGGACTGGCCGGGTCGATACAAGTTCGCAGGCACCATGTTTGATTATAGACGGACCTCCCATGAGCCGGAGAGTTTGACCTCTTCTGGGCCAACCAACGAAACACTGGTTGTGGAGGTAGGTGCCAGCCTTCTGATTTTCGGCCTGGGATCTGGGATTGTTGCAGATTGACGGCCATTGGCATAACTTCAAGAACACAGAATAATGATTACAGTTTGAGAATGTGTCCGAAGCAAGACTCATCTAAGCATTGAAGGGGGCGGTGGGCTTGTTACCTTTCATCCCCTGGCACCTAATCTGATTTGTATTTACGCACATCACGCGGTTCCTGTTTTGGGTCTTTATCAGCTGGTGTTTACGAAAGTCGGCCCCTCTCCTGTACGCCGTGTGGCTGTGAGAAGCGGGCACACTCGGGGGACTCTGCCGAGTCCTGTGGAATGGGAGGGGGATGAGAGCCCGAAGCAAAGCCTCAGCAGTGACGTCATATGGGCCCCCATGTGCAGGGAAGAGGCTCACAGGCTGCCATTAGGCTCTTCCTGCGACGTTATCTGCCCCCATGAGACTGGGCAGATGGAGGTGACAGGCACAGGCTAATGCCCCACCTTTTTGTCTTTCTGTGCACAGTTAAAGTACTTGGTTCAAATGTTGTCCCGTCAGCCTACAACCAGTATGCAGATGTGAGCCACCCAGACTCCCCCCACCTGCTCTCAGGGCCAGGCAGCCCCCTCCTGTCCTCTTGTATCTTCCTGGGAGATGCTTCCCCGGGGCTCTCCACACACATCCCCCATCTGCCTCCCCTCCTGACCCTGAGCTGTTCTCATCACTTATTTCTCCCTGATGATTTCTCTCCCACCAGCGCAGGCTTTAGCTCGAATAATGGCACAGAACAGAGATAAGTCAAGGGCGAAGGTGAGTGTGGCTTATTAGGAACTATTCTGGATGGAAGAAGATTTGCAAAGGCTCAGGATGTCAGACAGGAGAGCATCTCAGGGGCCTCACCATGCAGCCACCTATACCTGTCCTACAACACCTTCCTCAACTAAGACCCAAGAGCTGTGTTGTCAGGGGTGGGGAATGCGGTGCCGGGTGGTCAGAGAATATCTGACCCCCCTGGAATATCACATCAGGACCAATAAAGGCTCCCAGATTCAGAGATGGGATTTCTGTCCACTGATCAATGGTGAGGCTTCCAAAGTAAAAAGCTTTCTCTCTGAGATCAGCGATCTGACACATTCACGAGTGCAAAGGTAACTGGTCCATACGGTTGCGTTTTAAACTAGGAGGTGAAGAGTCCAAATTCAAGGTGCTGAGATAGGCTCAACCTGAGAGATCTTTAGGGATAGGTGTTTTTCTCCTGGAATGTGCCAGTCGTCCAAAGACCCCTGCATCCGGTCACACTGGAAAGTACGCTGCCGTAACTTTGATGGGTGGCATGGGTAATATCCACTCATGAGTCCTGACTGCTTAGAACGCACCAGGAAGCGTGAGAGTGCTTTATAGGCATTGCTTTCTGATGGCCTCAGATGGACGGGATTTGCAGGGGATCCCAAGGAAACGCTGGGGGAAATAACCAGATACCCGAGTTAGGTTGCAGAGGTGTTTGAAGCCTTGAAGAGAGGAACACACGAAACGTAAGGCAGACGAGTCGAATGTCTACATTTTTCTAGATGCGCTTGCTTCTTCTTGAGCGTTCGCTTCCGTCTAGAAAGTTCGTATACGTTTTAGAGGATGGACGGTGTTTATCACGTAACCAACTTCCTGTTGATGTTGTCGCTTCAGTACTATTTAAAAACTAGCTTATATTTATCAGTTCCATTTTAACTTGTTTTCTCTGCCCCCTTTTCATTTTCTAGATTCTGTTTCAGGGAAGGAACCCGGGTGTCGCCTGGGAGTACTCGGTGCCCCGGTTGCGGGGTGAGAAGAAGCCCAGTGGCCAGCCTCGTTACACATGGGCCATCATTCGCTCCGAGTGTTCAGTCTCCTGCGGAGGGGGTAGGTCACCTCTCACACCTCTCCGGTGGGGGAGCGCTGAGGGGCCACGGGCACACTGCACTCACAGGTCCACACCACGTCCTGGCAGGGGGCCCCATTCCCAGAGGGAGAGCAGAGGCCATTGGCCCTGCGTGTCACCGGAAGGCCGGGCCTGCCTTCTCTCGTCCATCTATGTCAGCATGTTGCTCTGAGGGAGTCGTTTGGTGAACCGGTTTCTGCTTTGCACCCAAGTGAAGATTTGATAAAGAGTAGTTTCGTGAGTTGAGATTATTCAAATAAAAGTCACTCAAATTCTACGTATCATGTTGGTGATGAGAAGTAGAAGTTTTACCTTGAAAATATCGTGATGCAGACTGAGGTTTGGGTCCAATGGTCTTGCTCAAATTTACTGCGAAGTCCTATATTGAAATTCACCCAGAAACTACAGGAACGTTATGCAAATCGTGGTGGAAATGACTAGAAACAGCATGTCAGGAAGAAGAATTTCACATGACAGTCAATGGCTTGGTCATCCTGATGCCATAAAAATTGGACCGTCAAAGAAAGTCTAAAATTGAAAACGTTGGCTGACGACAGGAACATTTTCAGCCAGAGCCAGACATATGCTCTGGCAAAGGGTGGCGAGTCAATTTTTCAAATTTGGGAGCAAAATACTAAATTCTAGATTTAGAAAACAGACAAGTTTTGATATGGGCAAATGGATTTCAGCTTTGCGAATTCCAGCTTTTAATGATTAATTAATTTAGACAGCTGTGTCTTTAAGTTCTAGAAAAAGGTACACAAAATGGGAACTTGCATAAATTAAGAATCTAATGAATGAATGAAGAAAAAATAACGGGCTGCCTGGGTGGCTCAGTCAGGTAAGTATCTGACTCTCGATATCGGCTCAGGTTGTGATCTCAAGATTGTGAGATTGAGCCCTGTGTCAGACTCTGCGCTGAAAGAATAGATCTTGCTAGGGATTCTCTTTCTCCTCCTCTCTGCCCCTCCCCTGCTCATGCGCACATGCACTTTCTCAAAATAAATAAACTTTAAAAAGGAATTTAAAACAAAAAAGGAAAATGAATTCATACACTGAGAGGATTATAGAGTTCTTACCCTTTCTTTATTAATGTGATGTATCACGTTGATTGATTTGCAGATACTGAATCAGCTCTGTAGCCCAGGAATAAATTTTGATCGTGGTGAATCATTCTTTGAACGTGCTCTTGGATTCGGTTTGCTAGTATCTTGTTGAGAAGTTTTGCATCCATGTTCATGAGAGAAATTGGTTTGTAATTCTCCTTTTTAGTGGGGTCTGTGTCTGGTTTTGGAATCAAGGTAATTCTGGCCTCATAGAATGAGTTTGGAAGTTTTCTATTTCCATTTTTTTTGGAACAACTTCAAAAGAATAGATATTAATTCCTTTTTAAATGTCTGGTAGGGGGCGCCTGGGTGGCGCAGTCGGTCAAGCGTCCGACTTCAGCCAGGTCACGATCTCGCGGTCCGGGAGTTCGAGCCCCGCGTCAGGCTCTGAGCCATGTCAGGCTCTGGGCTGATGGCTCAGAGCCTGGAGCCTGTTTCCGATTCTGTGTCTCCCTCTCTCTCTGCCCCTCCCCCGTTCATGCTCTGTCTCTCTCTGTCCCAAAAATAAATAAACGTTGAAAAAAAAAAAAAAATTTTAAATGTCTGGTAGAATTCCCCTGGGAAGCCATCCAGCCCCGAACTCTTGTTCCTTGGGAAAGTGTTGATTACTGACTCCATTTCTTTATTGGTTATGGGTCTGTTCAAATTTGCTATTTCCTCCCGTCTCACTTTTGGTAGTTTATGTTTCTAGGAATTTATCCATTTCTTCCAGATTGCCCAATTTGTTGGCATATAATTGCTCACAATATTCTCCTGTAATTGTTTGTATTTCTAAAGTGTTGGTTGTGACCTCTCCTCTTTCGTTCGTGATTTTATTTACTTGGGTCCCTTCCTTTTTCTTTTTGATAAGTCTGGCTGGGGGTTATCAGTTTTATTCTTTCAAAGAACCAGCTCCTAGTTTCATTGATCTGTTCTACTGGTTTTTGTGGGTTTTGGTTTTTTTTTTCTATATCATTGATTTCTGCTCTAATCTTTATTATTTCCTTTCTTCTGCTGGTTTTGGTCTTTATTTGCTGTTCTTTTTCCAGGTCCTTCAGGTAGAAGGTTAAGTTGTGTATCTGAGACCTTTTTTCCTTCCATAGGAAGGCCTGGATTGCTAAATCCTTCCCACTTACGACCGTCAGCCAAACCAATGCAACACTATGTTAACTAATTTGAGTTTAAATTAAAAAAAAAAATGAAGGGGCGCCTGGGTGGCGCAGTCGGTTAAGCGTCCGACTTCAACCAGGTCACGATCTCATGGTCCGTGGGTTCGAGCCCCGCGTCGGGCTCTGGGCTGATGGCTCGGAGCCTGGAGCCTGTTTCTGATTCTGTGTCTCCCTCTCTCTCTGCCCCTCGCCCGTTCATGCTCTGTCTCTCTCTGTCCCAAAAATAAATAAACGTTGAAAAAAAAAAATTAAAAAAAAAAAAAAATGAATTCATACATTCTTAATAGTTGGTCTAAACAAAAGGCCTGAAGTAAATAGAGGAAAACAAAGATTAATGAAAAAACATAACCGTCTGGACAGTTAGCAGCAATGTGCTTGGCGTGTGCTAACCCTTCCCATTATAAACTAAGAATGAAATATTTCAATCATATTTAAATTCTGACATGAAGAGCTTTTTAAGGAAAAATACTGCTGTGGAGAATTACGTGGGCCCCCCCCCCTCGCTGGGGATGGGGCCAGACAAGCTGCCGTGTTATGCCATTCAGGAAATGGTGGAAGCAGACTGTGTTCGTGGGCATCCCCTGTGTGTGATGTGGGAAAATTGATGTCCAATCATACTTACTTCTCCTCCATTTCTCTTCCAATCTGACAACATCCCTCATGCTTCTGCAGATTATACACCAACCCAGAACTTATTCCATAATCATTTGCTCGAAGAATTGCATGGTAGAGTCAGCAAATGTGTTGTTTGTTTTCAGTTTGGATGGAAAGTTGGTGGGAAATTAGGGTTTCTCTCTCTCTGTTTTTTTTTTTTTACATGTAATTTATTGTCATATTGGTTTCCATACAACGCCCAGTGCTCATCCCAACAGGTGCCCTCCTCGATGCCCATCACCCACTTTCCCCTCTTCCCCACCCCCCCATCAATCCTCAGTTTGTTCTCGTTATTTAAGAGGCTCTTATGGTTTGCCTCCTTCCCTCTCTCTAACTTTCCCCCCCTCCCCCTCCCCCATGGTCTTCTGTTAAGTTTCTCAGGATCCACATAAGAGTGACAACATACGGTATCTGTCTTCCTCTGCCTGACTTATTTCACTTGGCGTAACACTCTCCAGTTCCACCCCCGTCGTTACTCCCTTCGGCAAGCAGATGGGGCACAGGATGCATGTCCTTTACCACCTCATATAGGATGTGGCTCCTCTGAGAGTCTTCCTGCCAGAAACCAGGCCTGCCTGCGTTCCAAACGGAGGGGTACTTCAACAGAAGTCTCGGGAATCGGCCCAGATCACCCAGCAGGCAGCAGGGGTTCAAGCAGCTCCACTGACCCCATTTTATTCCCACCACTGCCAGACTCCAGCGGTACCCGTGTCTCGCTGGCTGGCGTCCGTTCACATTCTTTAACAGAGATTATTCTACCAGCGAAGCACAGTGTGTTTTCAAATTGCCATCTTCCTTTCGTAATAGAGCACCTAATGACTGACGGGGACTGCAGTCCCCTGAACACAAGACCGAAATGTAGTGAGACGAGGCCCCTCGCGGAGTGGCCACCTCTTAGTTTCATGACCACTTGACGGTCAAGATTCCTCTTGTTCGGTCTTAACGCCCGCTATGTTTTGATCCACATTTAGTAGACTTGTCAGACGTCTCCCAGTAGTCTGTAATCACATGGTTATTTGCCAGAGGTTAATGACAGTGATTTATTTGGAGGCAGGGGCTTTTCGTTTCCCAGACTTGATTATAAGTGGATGTCTTCATTAAACAGTTGACCAGAATTCACTGTCTAAACCTTTCTGAACTTTGGCCCTTCAGGATCTGCTGATACCTGATGACACAGGCCTTCTGCCGATAAATCCTTAGTTACTTAAAGTTTATCAACTGCTTCGTTGATTCTGTGCTATGGGAGTCTCTCACTTCTACAAGGTAGGCCAGGATATTTCAATTCTGCATTATAACTGTCTACACGATGAACATTGGAGGCTGATGACTCAGAAAGAATCCAGTCTCGCTTTGTCAGTTGTATGAGAGAACAACCAAATTCGCCAGCAGATCTGATAGAGCACTTGTCTACTGTCTTGGTTTCTTGGTGGCTTCTGTCAGTGCATCACCCACATTCTCAACCCGATCCCCCGGGGAAAGGGGAAGGTATAGGCACCATTTTCATTTTTTCCTGCACGTGTTCTATTTTTAAGATCTCTAGCTGCATAGACCTTCCAACATCCTGGGTTGCGAAACCTTTAAAGCATTCTTTTCTTAGCCTGTCTCCCCGTGAACGTGATGTCTACAAGGAGGTATTTAAATGACCCAGTTAGGGAATTCATGAATGGGAAGAGAGACACTTGGAAAACTCCCCCACCTCTGGTTTCATTCAAGAAATATTACCTGGCTTCCGTGGAGGAAAGATGATGATGATGATGATGAT